CCCTCAGCTCCCAGTAAGGCCAATGTGGGAGTTGAATACCTCTTCTTGGATACTCACCAGACTGCTGTGAGGGAACAAACTGCTGGATAATTTGTGCTTTAAGCCTCTGGATTGTAAACGGAGTCTGGATATTGCCCCTGTCTTGAGGCTTCTAGACACACTCTCAGGGTGCAGATCCTCTGTCTAGCACCCCCCTCCGAGAGCTGAGTCTTCACAGTCCAACTGCCTAGACCCTGGGACTAGACTGACGCCTCAGACTTCCTCCATAGCTTAACACACCCTTTCCCAGAACTCCAGCAAGGTGGGTGTCCTGCGTCTTCAGGGATGTGTTGTTAGGGTGATCATATTTTCTAAAGGGAAAACAGGACACCACACAGTGCTTGCCTGAAGCACCCCTCTCCCCCCCCACGTGCAGAGCTGGCCCAAGCTGCTCGCCCGGGAGCTCCCTCCCAGGCACAGGGCTGGCCTTAGGTCTCTTAGGTCTCCCCCACAGGCCCGAGCCGCCTGGCATCACTGCTTACCTAAGCCCCACCACCTGGGGCTGGCATTGCCATTCGCCCTCCCCCCAACATTCCTCTGCACGTCACTAGTGGGGCACGTCCCACTTTTTGTCAAAGCTGGGTATTTGTCCTGTTTGCTCTTGTTTTTGGAAAAAAAACTGGTATGCCCGGGACAGTACTGGCCAAAATGGGATGTATGGTCACCCTATATGTTGTAGGTGGAACACAACACACAGACTTTGCACAGGATTCTAAGGCATCATTGCTCAGTACTTAATTGCACAAGCTGTACACAGATCTAGACAAATAATAAACCCTACACGCCTTTCCCTGCCTCAGTTTCCTCACCATTCCATAGTATTCTTTGGGCAGGGGTCAGAGTCCTGTGGGGCCATCCAGGGTTCTTCTACGTCAGCGCATGGCTTGTTTTCTCGGTCATGGAGCCTCCCCCACCAGGTCAGCTTGCTCTCTCTGACCTTGGTTGGTTCCATAGCTAAACCAGCCCTCCCACTAAGGCAGCATGCCTAGCTCTTCCCCTCCAGTGCCGGCCCAAAGCTTGCTGTGACCATGTGTGTTTATATATCCCACCACCACCATCTGATTTATTTATTCTCCTTCTGGGGATTTTCCACTACTGTAAACACCAGCCCCCTGTTAAGGTGAGGGAGAAAACTGGTTCTTCACGCTTCAGCCAACCTTCACAGCCTACCCATTGTTAGGTCAGAGTACAGATACTGCGGTCAACTGCGCTCCATTGTCCCCAATGCAGTGAGGTTACATGCTACTGGCCCTGGTGAATTCCCGATACAGCAATTTTCAATAGTCTCATAATGTCAACTAGAATCCATAAGTTGTACAAATTCCTCAGATCCTCACAGCTCCAGGGTACCCTCCACTCCCATTAAGGTAAATGAGAGTGGAGAGTACTCAGCACCTTGTGGAGTCAGACCTTTGACCTGTACACTCGGGTGATTAACAACACTCTATATTCCAGACAGGGTAACTGTTGGCATCTTCCCAGGGTTGGTTTGTTTGTTTGATGAATCCCATCATGGCCAGTTATCTTGTAAGTGCATTCGTATAAAAGGAATACCCTGAACAGATATTTGGCCTTTTTTTGTGGAGGTAAAATTCAAGGTTTCTTAGCATGGTAATCACATCATTAATAATAAAATCTGGGCCCAATTCTCTTCTCATGCAAGAGAACGTCCATGGCGTTTCACCAGGGTAAAAGCAGTGTGAGAGGGACTCTGGCCTCATTGACGGGTCCAGTGTCTCAAGGCCTAACAGAATAGCTAACACAGAATCAGAAGTGAGGAGCTGCCAACTCCTGTCTCCCCAAGAAGCCGTACTCTCTGCTACGAGGTCAGAGGGAGCAGCAACGTTCCAGGGGTGCTGTAAAAGTCCCTGAGAAAATGTATTTTCTTTTTAGAGCTAGGTCCATGTTAGACTCCTAAGGGCTCCATTCTGTGATGGGCTGAGCACTTTAGCACCAATTTAGCAAAGCACTTAAGCACACGCTTAAATTCAAGCCAAAGGGACTACTCACATCCTTAAAGTGGAGCACGTGCTTAAGTGCTTTGCTAAATTGGGCCCCAGCATTTTGCAGGATGAAGCACTCCCTTGCCAGACTCACTATTTCACAAAGTGAGAATCAAGGTTTACAGCAGCATGTCAGGCAGCTTTCTGAACAGTGCTTGCCGTTCCTGTCAATAAATTACACATCGGTATGAAAATGCACCTGCAAGCAAATGCCGGAGCTGTTATGTGTCAGCAGCAGCCTGGGCATTGCTATACAAATGGCCAAGCAGTCTGTATGGCATTAGAAAATGAAAGAGATGCAGCATACCCTAGCTTGGAGAACATTAGAACAAGCACATACAGTCAGAGATTCTGAATAACTAGGAGTACTAGGCACATGGGACGACTGAGCTGCTCATCTAAAGAAAAACACCTCCACAAATAAAGACCACAACCTATTTGCAATATCAATAGCAAAAAAATTAATAAGGAAGTCACAGAATGCCTGAGAATAGAGAATAAGTCCCAATTCCCTCATTTTGGCCACGTCAGTGTGGAGACATTTTTTTTTTTTTTTTTAAATTATATGTATCAATGGAGCCATAGCACAGAATAGAGCACTGGAGTGATACAAGCCAGATTTTTCAAGAGAACTCAGCCTTCATAATTGGGGTTAGATTTTCAAAAGATCTCAGTTTCTATAATAATTATTTATTATTTGTATTAGGATAGCACTTGCAGGGTAGGCCCTCATTTTGCTAGAAACCTGTATGAACATAAAACAAAGAGATGATCCCTGCCCTGTGTCACAGAAGGAGCTGAGCATTTGAAAATCTAACCCAAAGGGATTAAAGTATGCCAGTGGGTATTTACTTCTACAAAACATGCTGGATTATTAATGAATTGTTATGCACAGCTGAACAGTGCTATTCCACAGCAGCAAATATAGTGCATATAATGAACTGTCAAGTTAAATGATCACATTTTCTTTGTCGATGCACCATGATCATCACCCTAAATGTTCTTAGTTTGCAAATATATCAATGAGTCTTATCTTATACACAGCTATTTAAATAATAATCAGCTATGCATACTTCGGCTGTCTTCCAAACACTGCCCTCTGCTGGATGGAATGTCATTAGCAGCTCTGTTCAAATGCATATATGAGCAGGCTGCCCTCTAGAGACCTACATCTTGGCCTAAACAAAGGGTTGGGAAACGGGATAGGAGAAAGATGAAAAGGTGAGAAAGAAGGAACAGAGAGAGAGAGAATGGAGGAAGGGGAGAAAAGAGCAAGGGAAAAGAACAGATGAAGGCAGCAATAAGGGGAGAATGGGAAAGAAAAGGAAAAATGAAGGAGAAGAGGCAGCTACCTATGTTGTCATAATCCTACTACGCTGTGAATTTCTCACCGGCATCAGCTTGCAAAAGTTGTCAAGAAAAATTTACCAGCCAAGACAGAAAATCTGCTCACCTAAACTTTTACCACGAGAGGGAGAAGGAAAACAAATTACATGGTTTTACTTACCAGTCAAAAAACAAAACAAAAACCCAGCTCACCCTGGGCCGGCAGAGTGTTGCCAGGTTGAGTAACGAGGTGTCTGTGATCCCACATCAGACACGTGTTGCACTGGCCTCTGTGGGGTGGATGTCAGACCTGGTCAAGTGTCATCATGTCGCCCTCCCAGCTAGTTGCCCTGGTGGCTAAATATTAACCCCAATGACCAGTATTGCTGTAGTGTGAGGGATCATAATACTAGCTGCCAATGGTAGCAGCCTAGAATGTATAAACACCTTTAGACTATCCTGAAACAGCCATGAATTTCACAGATTACAACTATTACTCATTGTGATGAGGTAGACAAACCCCAAACTGGACCAGGAAAGAAAGGAGTTAATGGTGTGTTCTGGAGACAGGATACAGCCCATGCTACCCTATAGCACAAATATTACTGTTACAAAGGCAGCATGCTCCACTGTTAGGGCACTAGAGTGGGACTCAGGAGACCTCAGTTCTACTCCCACCTCTGCCACTGTGTCTCCTTGGGTGACTCACTTCACTATGACTCTGTTTCTGCTCCACCCTCTGTCTGTCTTGTGTATGTAGACTGAAAACTCTTTCAGGAGGTACAGTAATACACACAATGGGGCCCTAAGCCCACTTGGGTCCTCTAGTTATTACCATAACATAAATATTACTACTACCAGCATCCTAGCATTAGGGACTGACACCATCAGGTCTCCTCACCTCTACCTTTAACAGTGTCTTTGGAATCCATTGCTAGTTTCTCTTAGTCTTAGGGAAATACTGAGTTCTAGCATTTGGATGCTGAGTGAAAGGTTTCCAAGGTTTCTGCCTACAGTTTCCACCATTGCAGATCCACTAATAGTAGCAGCGCTAGAATAGATCGTTAGGTCTAGAGATGACAGTGGTTAAAATGCCTGCAGTCAGTCTATATTCAGGCTCCCACCACTAAAGCTGCACCAAGGAACAGTCAATGGTGGATAATTTAAAGAGAAACATTACTAAAAACAAAGCCTGAGAAAATGAGAACTTAGCAGTGCGGTGTCCCATCAACATCTTCTGCCAAAGTGCCTAACTGCACATTTTTTCTACTTCACCGACCAATAACGTTACACCGAAGTAAATTTCCTGATAATGGCCTTGGTTCTCTGCTCCAATACTACCCCGGTGCAGTGCAGTGTTCTACCCTTACCAAGGCAAGTTCAGTTACACTGGCATAAAACTAGCGTAAGAGAGTGGAGAATCAGGCCCTGTGTCTTTAAAACTATATGCCCTGGATGAAATCCTGGCCCCCTAAAGTCAATGTGAGTTTTGCCACTGACTTTCACATAGTCAGAATTTCACCCCTTCTCTCTTTCTCTTTACTACTGTGAAAAATAAAATAAATTTCTCTGTTAATATCAAATTTTATCATAATGTTAGTAACACAAGGAGACAACTACCAGCATCTAACCTTGGCTAATGTCTTAAAATAATTGTGTTTATTGTACAATTTTAAAGGCAGTAACAACTGCAGGATGGGTTTTAAAATGCCTCTGCACAGTACTATCACAGGCAAAGATTTAGGCTGAAAATAGCATCTCTTTCAGATTCACAGGAGGAAGTGCAGCAGGTTACTGTTTTTCAAGAACCACACACCAGTTTCCCTGATCATAGTAACTCTTTTGAATTCTTATGCAATCCAGGGTTTTGCAGGCTGCTTCCAGTTCTCCTTCACAGAACACATGATAATAGCGGTGGAAAACAGGACTGAATTCTTGCAATTCCTTAGAACCAGCTGGAAGCTGAAGGGCTTTGACACATTCCCCTTTCTTGTTAGTGCCCCCTTTCAGGTGCCAGGGAACCAGCACATCTTGAGAATGAAAGGATGTTCTGTTAGTATGAACTGGCAGCTTGGAGTTAATTACCTGCTTTGCATTGCCGCCTTTGTCCTTAGAGTCATTAAGGACTCGGTCAGAACATGCTGAGTCTTGGCTACCGTTGTCATGCATTTGATCACAGAACAATCCCCAGGCCACATCTGTATTGATTTCCTCCTCTTTCCCTTTACTAGCTCTCTTTTCCTTAAGGTACTTTGACTTCTGTTTGTTGTATTCTTGTTCCATTGCCCAGACGTAAATGAGTGCCTTTCCGCCAGGCCTTAGGAGCCGGGCTAATTCACGGACAGCAGCCAGTCTTCTCTCCTAGTAATGAAAAGACTCAATGAGTACATATGAAGTTAGTACATAAGCAGGAACACAATGAAATGGAACTGACAGCAACACCACTGCTGCAATGAACAGAAATGATTCCTCCCTGCTCTACCTCCAGGTACGAAACAGACTGGAGATATTTTTTTTCCATCCTACTTTTTGGTTATGTGATCTTAGCCTGACAAAAGTGAGCATACTCCCTACTAGTGGGTGATGATGAGTAAGGGGGCAGGGGAGTAATTCATTCATAATGTAGTCAACCACTATGCACACGGGCTAGGCCAAAGCTGCATGGGAACTACTTTTTGTCTACAGTATGTGGTAACATCAGCTGTATTGATTTTATTTATTTTTATTACAAGTAGCACTGAGAGGTACCAACTGAGATACAGGCCCCATTGTGCTAGGTGCTGTACAAACACACAGTCCCTGCCACAAAAATCTTGCCATCTAAATAGACAAGACAGACAAAGTGTTGTGATCCCCACTTTATAGATGGAGAATTGAGGCACAAAGTCTCAGACTGAGCCAGGAATTTAATCAATGTCTCCTGCATCCTAATGCCGAGTCTTCCTCTCAAATGTCATTAATTGTAACTAGACCAGTGGTTCCCAAACTTTAACAATCCGTGAACCCCTTTCACTAAAATGTTGTGTCTCGCGAACCCCCTCTTAAAAATGAATATTTCCAGGAATTTTCTCCTTTACCTGAGTTTAAATTATAAAAGCAGTGATCTTGGAAATATAAAATTTGTTTTTATGACATGCTTATTACACACTATTTATTATTAATTATTATTTATCATTACAGTATTTTTACTACATTATGAAAACGGTAACACTCTTCCAAGATCTCACTTTCATAGCTTGTATCACTTTGAATAAGCCTGTTATAAGACAAGGCTCCTATGTTTCATCAAGGATGTGAAACAGCATGAAGGTATTTAAGAAGCCAACTCAGAGTTCTCCTACACAAGCATTCAGGTCTTGAGCAGTCCAGGCAAACAACGCACGTTACAACAAAGCTTAAACTTGTTCTTCATAATAATTTTAAAAACAATACAAGCTGCCTATTTACTTTTAAAAACAGCAAAAAATATCTACCTCCCTTTCCATTTCTTATCAGGAGTCTTGAAGTTTAAATCTCCTCAGTGTGATAGATATGCTTGCTTTGATCTGCTTAGCTCTGGGAAGTCCAGGGGCTCCAGGCTGCTGGCCCCATGCTGCTCTGGGTTTCTAGGGACAGCTCTGTCCGCCATTAGGGAATTTTTTCCCGAGAACCCCCTGTAACATTTCGCGAACCCCCAGGGGTTCACGAACCCCAGTTTGGGAACCACTGAACTAGACCAAATGAAACATAGATGTCTATACAATCAAACCAAATTCTTAAGAGAAAGTGGAACAATACCATGGGGGTCTGCACAGAGTGGGAAAATGACAGGGACAGTGATACCACTGCAGATTCTGATGTCTAAGGAAGTCTTTGAGTTGTAATACAGATATATTGCAATCTTATCACCTAGGACAGCACCCAGCAAGCAATGGGAAGTGACTGGAGATGCAAAAGCAGCTGATAAGGAGGGGGAAGCACATGAAGACAATTTGTGGGGAGGAGCAGAAGTGAACCAGGTTAGCTGGTGTGCTCTGCCTGCTGATCATCATACTAAACTCAGTCTTTTCTCTGTCTATCATGTCCTTCTTCCATTTTGTCTGTCTTCTTCACGTGTTTCTCATCATCTGCTTAGATTGTAAACTCTTAGAGGCAGGGACTCTACTTGACTATAAGGTAGATAGAAAGCTGGCTAGATCGTTGGGTAGTGATCAATGGCTCCATGTCTAGTTGGCAGCTGGTATGAAGTGGAGTGCCCCAAGGGTCGGTCCTGGGGCCGGTTTTGTTCAATATCTTCATTAATGATCTGGAGGATGGCGTGGACTGCACCCTCAGCAAGTTTGCAGATGACACTAAACTTGTGATAGATTCGCTGGAGGGTAGGGATAGGATACAGAGGGACCTAGACAAATTAGAGGATTGGACCAAAAGAAATCTGATGAGGTTCAACAAGGACAGGTGCAGAGTCCTGCACTTAGGACGGAAGAATCCCATGCACTGCTACAGACTAGGGACCAAATGGCTAGGCAGCAGTTCTGCAGAAAAGGACCTAGGGGTTACAGTGGACGAGAAGCTGGATGTGAGTCAATAGTGTGCTCTTTTTGCCAAGAAGGCTAACGGTATTTTGGGCTAAGTAGGGGCATTGCCAGCAGATCAAGGGACGTGATCGTTCCCCTCTATTCGACATTGGTGAGGCCTCATCTGGAGTACTGTGTCCAGTTTTGGGCCCCACACTACAAGAAGGATATGGAAAAATTGGAAAGAGTCCAACAAAAATGATTAGGGGGCAGGAGCACATGACTTATGAGGAGAGGCTGAGGGGACTGGGATTGTTTAGTCTGCAGAAGAGAAGAATGAGGGGGGATTTGATAGCTGCTTTCAACTACCTGAAAGGGGGTTCCAAAGAGGATGGATTTAGACTGTTCTCAGTGGTAGCAGATGACAGAACAAGGAGTAATGGTCTCAAGTTGCAGTGGGGGAGGTTTAGGTTGGATATTAGGAAAAACTTTTTCACTAGAAGGGTGGTGAAGCACTGGAATGGGTTACCTAGGGAGGTGGTGGAATCTCCTTCCTTAGAGGTTTTTAAGGTCAGGCTTGACAAAGCCTTGTCTGGGATGATTTAGTTGGGGATTGGTCCTGCTTTGAGCAGGGGGTGGACTAGATGACCTTCTGAGGTCCCTTCCAACCCTGATATTCTATGATTATATGATTGATGTGTGCAGTGCGTCCAGAACCCAGCACTTTGGGGCCCTAATTTCTGAAGGATTATTCTAGGAGCTACTGCAATACAAATTATTACTATTATTTATATTTGTATTATAGTAGTGTCTAGAGGCATCAGCCCCATTGTGCTAGGCACTGTATAGACACATAGCAAAGAGATGATACCTGCCCCAAAGAGCTTACAGTCTAAGTAATCTAAACAAATATTAAATCTACATAATAATAACAACATCAAGATGCAGCACAGGCCGATCTTATCAACCACCCCACGTGTGACATCTCTTCACCTTATGATCCTTTTAATGCCAGGGAGCAGGGAAAGTGTTGAAAGTTTTTGAGGAGGAAGGAGTTGCAGGAGACAAGAAGAGAAAGGAATCAGAAGGGATGAAGTGGCTATATCCATCCCCTCAGGCCTTCATCCTCCCTGTCCATACCTTCTCCTCTTTTCTTTCCCTCCCATTTCCTTACGCTCCCACTTTCTCTCCTCTTTTGAGATCCTCTTTTGCCGTTCACTTTCCAATGGGACAAGCTGGTGACCTCTTGTGAGATCTACAGATGTGAGAGTGGACTTACTGCTGTTGAAAAATGGTGGATTACAGCAATGGAGATGCAGGCATCACAAGAACTATTTCGAACTGGCACAGACAACGCGTCACAGACAAACGCCTGGAATTTCTTTTCTCCACAGATGTCCACCAAGTTTTGGCTATGATCACAGCCAATCTGTAACAGAAAGGGTATTGTTAAACTGCTGGTTTTCACAGGAAGATAGTTACAGGAATGGCTCCATCAGTCTCTTCTGTTCAGACACTACACTGGATACATTTTAGTAAAAAAATAAGTTTTAGTTAAAGGGAGAAAAAAAAATAGTCCAAATTATTTTTTTGTTGCTGCTCATTTAAAATTAGCTTGTGGGGTACTGGACTCTAAGGCTGTTGATTATGGATCCTTGGTTCTGAAAAGCGTGAGTTAGAATAGCCTTGGGACTGCTTGGGATAGTTCTCAAGGTACCCAGGCTATGAACCACCTTGTTACTTCCTGCCTCCAGCATGAGGGAGCCCTGCCTGTGCTAGCTGGGGATTTGCTCCTTAACACCACTAGCCTGCCAGGCACTCAAACACTCTCCTCTGGGCTATGCCTTGCAGATTAACAATCTTTACCTTGCAGATTAACAATCGATGAGCCCCAGTCCCCTTGAAATATTCCCCTGTGATATCCATCCCGACACTGGCTACTCACAGAAATCCCACATCCCCTGTTCTAAAAGGAACAGTGCACCCCAGTTTACCACCCTTATATCACCACTCCTGTATAATGCACAGTACTTGTGAGCACTTATAATAAAACTAAACTTATAATAAAACAAAAGAAACTTTAATTAAGAAAGAATAGAGATTCCACTAGACAAGAGAGATGGAAACAAATGGTGACAACAGAAAACAAAATCATACAACGCGAATTAGGGCCTGTGCTTATTAATGACCTTTCCTATTTAATAAATAGGTTTTCCCCACCCGAAAAGTTCAGTCTGTTGCAGAGCTGGCTGGCTTCCCAGGAACCAGGATCCAACCTTTCATGACCCCCCCAACCCAAGATATCTCCTCAGTGAATGGATGCAAAGTGTTTTTCTCCACCCTGTGATATACTGAATCAGTCCTTTGTCTTTACGCACAGCCAGGGTGATTTCTGGTCTGGTATAATGTTCCCTTTTTACCTCCAAGTGGTTTCAATTGTTTGCAGTTGTCTTTCGTGGTTTTCCATCGACTGTTCGGAAATGGGGCAAAGCTAGACAATCACGGACTAACCAGGGAGAGGTGACAACTCCTTCCTGCTTAAATGGGTCATCACTGAGTCATCTGATTCCCTGGTGACTAACTTTTACTCCAAATCTATAAGGCATCATTTCAATATAGTTACATTATTCCTTAAATATTACCTGTACACGCATCTTGTAATGATTATGAGTATTAATAAATTACAAGCTTTCAGTAGAGATCTTACATGCTATCCTGAATGGATAAATACCATGAAAGTGGTGTATTAGGTGTCAGGAACTGTTCATTGGCTACTTATTATCCAACCACTCTGCACCGTGTGAGCAGTGCAATGTGTCTGACTGGTAACCCCTTAGGTATTTAAAAACTTGGGTAATATCCAACAGCTAAACTCCTGTAACAATGGTAAAACTCTCATTCATTGACTTCACTGGAGCCAGGATTTGGCCCCCAGATGCCAAATTTTGTCTGATAAAATTTTAAACCACTAAAATACTGAACTCCCCAGAGTTGGATTTTCCAATGGAATAAAGCAATTGAGTTCTAACTCTGGTGGTGCTCCTACTCGTGTCGCTGTAGTAATTGCTATAAAGATTCAATACACATCAACACTTCCTAGTTTCTGTTTGAGTACGGGAATGTGAAATGTGTCGGTATAGACTTCCCAGCCCCAAAATATCATCACAAATACAACTGTTAGAATTGAATGTTCAGCTCTCGTGTAACTTTAACAGAGCCACAGTATATACCAAGGGAGATGGGCCACAGGGTCAGTCTTAGGGCAGATTTCATAATATGATATTTCCTTAGTTTGTACTTTCCTCTGCATTCAAGTCAAGAGTGAAGAGAAACAGCATCTACAAACATCCTTTTGCATGCCTTACATCAAAAGAATAAATCAGCGATGAGCAAGGGACTTCTGTAAAACAACCCTGCAGTGATGCACGCATCTCTTTGATTTCCAGGTCTGCCACTTGTATTGAATTTAATAATCAAGCTACCAAAATATATTTCAAATGCATGTTGGCTGGAAATATTAAATTTATTTTTGTTTTAAACAATCATCAATAGGCAGATAATGGAAAACTAGATTCCTAAATAATATTTGCTGGCAGTGTTTGTTTTATCTGAAACAGAAAGAATTCCAAGTCAGCCTGAATGGGAGAAGAATAGCAAACAACATGTTCTGACTAATCAATTTACTAAAGGTGACAGCATAGTTTAAATTAAAAAAATCTCTGCTGCATTAATTTGTAAAAATTACTATATGGAGAGAGAGTGTAAGAAAGAGCTGAGTTATCCATAATACCATCACATTTTCTAGGTTCAATCTAGCTTCGCTTTTGAGCATACAATTAAGCCTTGTTTGCAAATTTCCAGCCAAATTTTGTGATCTGACTCAGGCAAAATTCGTATTGACCTCAGTCAGAGTTTTGCCCAAGTGAAGAAACTGCAAGATTTGGCCCAAAGTAAATGTAGCTGTTGCGAAAACTGCTGAATTGACAGCTCAGGAAAATGGAATCCTTTTACACAATGAAAGCCAGGTACAGCATGGACAGTGGCACTGCAAATTTGCACACACTGCCCTGCCCAAGTGCCTCAGCACAGCCCTGAAGGGATCAATTTAATGTTGTTCAATTTCTATTTAATCTTTGGCCTCTCCACGGAGCTTACCAAAACCTGAGCCAAATGGTGCCTAATTTGGCTAGTGCTTGATAGGAGAAGGACACTTGTCCATGAAGAACTAGGCAGAGATCCCAACTCGTTTCACATTGGAAACCAATGGTAGTATCTTCTGATCACTCTCGCCCTGAGCTGAATTCAAACTGATGACCTTCATGTGATTGGTAACGAGCTGTCGAGCCTGTCTGTCACAGAATCCCCTGCGGTTCCTCCTACAGGGGCTGGCAGAACCTGACCATGCCCAGTTACCTACACTGGGTGGTTCCAGCTTTCCTCTGAGTGCCACCCTGCACTGGGCTTGGATCACAGGTGCCGACTGTCCGGGACAATTTGGCCCTATACTTGTACAGTAGAAATGGGCCTGGTAGTGTGAATTAAATAAAAACCACAGAAATGACCTTGAAAGAGACCACACTGTACACTAACGAAATCCAGTAAACTGAAACTAACTGAGAAGAACAAATCACATGACAGCCAGAATGTGAGGTCCTAATTTGCATCTAAATTATATGAAATAATTGTGAAGTCAGGCTTACTTATAATGTCATACTTATTAAAATGAATCCACTGCCCAAAACAAAAAGATTGTATCTTGTGATGAACAAGGAGACCTTGAAACATGTTGGTTACAATGCATAGCGGATCTACAAAAGGTTCACTAGGCTTAATATAACATTGTATTTAATGTAATTATGATAGAACCTCTGTGTATATGCATAAGGACTGAACACAGAGAATCACCATAAATCTGTCTCTTACAGGAATTAAGCAAGTTTAAGATCCTTACTAGGATAAGCACAATATGACTTTTTTATATATAGTTATCAAAGAATTATAATTCCCATATTCTATCATTTTATAGTTTACAGTGTGAGAACTATACCTTGTATCACTTCAAAATGAATACACATTGGCTCAGGTCTTTTAAAAACAATGAGCCAGATCCTCAGCTAGTGTAAACTGGGTGAGTTCAATGGAGTGGCCCATTATTTTTTATGAGTATTTTTTTTTCACAGTGGGTAGGCGGTTTTGTCCTGTGAGATGTTGTCTGGCATTTACAGCTAGAGACAGGGAGTCAGAACTCTGGGCTCCGTCACTGACTTGCTGGGGTGAGCTAGGGAAAAATATCACTTCACCATCAGAGTGATATGGTGAAGTTTCATGTTCACAAAGCATTTTGGGGACAGAGAAGTGCCCCCATATTATCATCTAGCAGACCCTCTCCCTTACATTGCTCTCTGAGCCTCCAAGCCCTGGTCGAGAGACTCAGACTCTTGGGTCTCACGCTATTGCACTGAAAATAACTGTGTAGACGCTGCAGCTTGAGCTGCAGCTCAGGCTCTGAAACCTGGGGCAGGGGAGGGACTTTAGAGCCTGAGCCATAACTTAAGAGCGCTATCTACACAGCTATTTTTATCATGATAGCATGAACCCCATGAGCCTGAGTCTGTCGCTTCCCATGAGCCTGGGCTCAGAGGCTCTTTGCTGCTGGCTGATAGACGTACCTTACGTGACCCTGGTTCTCATGCAGCAAGATAACCATATTCCTATGGCAAGACAGTGCAGCCGACTGTGTAAACAGGACATGGCATGCTCAGTCTAAATGCATAGGAGCTTCTTCCTCTTTCCCCAGGAGTTCTCTGCAGCATTTCCATATATAGTTATACATCTTAAGGGCGGCGGGGGGGGGGGGGCAATATGATCACCTAGAATGATCTGCAAAACACAGATCATAGAATTTCACCCAGTGATTCCTGCATCAAACCCAGCACTTCTGGTTGAGCAAAAGCATCTCTTTTGGAAATTCATTAAATCTTGATTTAGATGTTTCAAGTGATGAAGAATCCATCACATCCCTAGGTAAGTTGTATATTTTTAAGGGTTCCCCCTTTTCTTATCCGTTTTGGGAATCCTTTCAATCTTCTCTTATTTCAGCAAATCAAGCTCCCTGCTTTGAACCACCTGAAGTCTCTTATCTGCATCAGGTACTGTAGCTGAATGTTCAGTTGAGCATGGCCTCAAGTCTAATCATTCTAGCAGCCAGGAGTTTTACACCTTTTATTATTTCCTGGAAGGAGGCTTGCATCTCAGGTTTAACTGGTTTTATTTTAGACAGCAATCCCCTAATGGCTGTCTTTGTGGCACACACATTCTTATCTTTCTCCATTATTCTTTGTGAATAGAACACTGGCCCACAGGGAGTTCCACAATGGATGCTGCTGCTTCTCTCTGGTTGCTTGCAAAAAAAGCACTTAATGTAAGCAT